CAACCGTATAATCCATGTTAGTTTCAATCCTTTTATATATTTCTCAATATCTATCATTTCAGCCCTCCTAATTTGTGTTCAGAACATAACATTTCTCTTTTTATATTGTCAGGTTTGTTTTCCCAAATAAATGAATAAATTTTGTCAGATAGTTGTTTTAAAGTATTTTTGCATGGTGCTTATAGTGTTAAAAACAAATGGTTCAATTTTGAAATAATTAGTGTCTTGATGATTGTTACTTTTCCAACTGGTGTTAATGTTTGTTTTGACCAAATTTTTATTATATTTTCAATTTCTTTAATTCTTGGACCATAGTTCAACAATTCCATTTCATACAAATTGACAGAAATGTTTATTCCTAGTAATGTAAACCTACTGAAACCCTATTCCAATCCCCATTTACACACATGGTGTCTTGACTATATTTGTTTTTGCCTATCTACACCACCTTGTTTTGTTCAAGTTCATATGGAGACCAGACATTTCAGCATATTTTTGTAGTAAGCGAAGAGATGCATCTAGAGATTTGGAAGTACCGTCAAGTATTATTGATGTGTCATCTGCGTATTGGGAGATAAAATATTCTGTGTCATCAAATTCAATTCTTTTAATTTCTTTGTTCTTTCTGATTAAAATTCCTAGAATTTCAACACATAAAAGAAAAATGTAAGGTGATAAAGGATCCCCATGTCTAAAGCCTCTTTGGATCTCAAAGAAATCTGACAGAAAACAGTTTTGGGATACTGATGAGCTTATATTTGTGTAAAATGTCCTTATCCAATGTTTTATAGAGGGTCAAAAGTTGAAAAAGTCTAATAATTCATTTATGAATTTCCATGATACGGAATCAAAAGCTTTTTCAAAATCTATGAGAAGGAGAGGACCTGGCAAATCATTTACTTCTGTATAGAATAAAATATCATATATGAGACAAGTGTTTTCTCCAATATATCTTCCAGGAATGAAACCTGTCTGATCATTGCTAATAATAATGGGTAGAACAGATTTTATACGCTTTGCTATACAGCTTGATGCTAGTTTATATTTTGTATTCAAAAGACTTATTGGTCGCCAATTTTTCATGAACTGTCTAGGTTTTTCACCTTTTGGTAAACAAGTAATAATACCCTGCTTTTGAGTTATTGACAATTCCCCCCTTTTGTAACCACAAATTATAGATCTGAAATAAATTGTCCTACATTTGTCCAAAAGAATTAAAAAAATTCATTTGTTAAGCCATCTGGGCACGGTTGTTCAAAAGTGTCGTTAAGCTAACGACTAGTTAAGCCTAACGACTCGTTAAATTTTAACATTGTTGTTAGCTAATTACTACGTTAAATTATGTTGTTCAAAAATATTTAACGACTGAGTTAACAAACTACTTGTTAAAAAATTTGACAACTGTTTATTTTAACATTTTCCCATAATTCCAAAAAAAAAAATACCAAAAATTGGCTGAAGAGCAACCCCCAAAGAAAATTCCCAGAATTTGAGGGCAGAATTTTTCCAGTATGGAAGTTAACCTCATCAGTAGGAGAGTTGTTGAAGAACTGGCTTTACTGAGGGGGAAATTCGGTAAGGATGTGACAGCTGATGCAAAAAACAGAATGTGGGAAAAAAAAGTGCAGAAGTGAATGCTCTTGGTGTGAGCTATAGGCAAGTTCTGACTGTGAAAACCAAGTTCAGAAACCTCACAAGAGACGCCAAAGAAAAATTTGTGTATGAAAAAAAGGAGAGAAACAAGACAGGAGGAGGACCTGCTCCAAAACCAATAAGCGTTGCTGATGAGAACATAATAAATGCATTAAAAGACACCTCCTCTTTCAAAGGAATAGATGAAGGGATGGAAACTTCAGTGGGCAAGTATTTTAGATTTACTAATCAATGCTATGCTTCTATTAATTTGCTTAATTCCTTTGAAACAATAAATCTGACGGTTATTTTTATTGCTATCATAGAAAATAATGCAGAAAATTTTTAAGCCAGAGTGCGTCGTCTGCTATGACATTAGGATATCCCTTTCAACGAAATTCCCTACAGACGTCGCCGATGTGCTAAAAATAGAATTTTCTGTTGTGTTATAATGCAACCATTCTCTTACCTTAGATATATAAAAATACCTCCTTATGATATTGATGAGAAATAATCATCACATACAAATCTATTTATCGATTAAAACAGGTATACTTATTGTTTTGCAACAGCTGAAGTTTGTTGGCCATCACCTTTGGCGGTCAATTCTGCAATGCCCCTTACATCATGTTTTACCCCCATGAAAAAAAATATAAGCTGTAGTAAAATTTTGAGAGAAAATCCTTTTACTTTTAAAGATTATTTAAATTTCAATAAAAGTTATTTGTAAATACAACCAAAAACGAACTTGCATTGAATACTTTACTAAAGTCATTGTGACATGTTTATAGTCCATTTCAAAATAGGCATGCATTATTAAAAATTGAGTTATCTTTCTTTGTGCCTAATTTTTTTTTGTAATTTTCATTTTATCATTTTTACAGGGTATCCTCAGCAGACATAAACAAGTGAGAGTAGACCAACACAGTTCTGTATACAAGGTGTGTATCTAAAGAAGATATTCATGCATACACATGATAATAAATTTCTAAAGAAATCTACTTTCTTTTAAGCATTAAAATCAATTTTATCAACAAAAAAAGCCCATTAAATTGCTTGATTTGTTAGTTATTATTAAATTCAGGATTAGTATAGTAGCCATCCTATACATATCATTGTTTAAATCTGGAAAATATTAGTATTTAAGATATAAACAGTTTTTAATATATAGTTTATCAAATTGCTGAGCAAATTGTTAATCAAATGAATCAGTTCATGATATAGATTTATAAAATGTTAACACTGACTGGTAATTAATTGCAGTAATATTATAATTGTAACCATAAGTAAAGAGTGAGATTATTTGCCCTTGTAACAAATAATTTGGTATAAAATTGAGAGTGTAAGTATAATCAATACAGGGGTGGATCAAGCCATTTTAAAAGGTCCCCATTCAAATGCATAGATCATGAAAAAAAAAGGGGGGGAGGGGTTCACTGCAATGAGGAATAATGTTCATGCATATTCATCCCTTTTGTGTATAGTATTTATATGAAAGCTAATGAAAACAGGTACAAGAATAACATTATTCAAGTATTATTTTATTTGATTTTGATCGAATGAACAGTTCTTATTATCAATCAAATATCCCAAAATAAAATGATTGTTAAAAAAAAATAAAATTAGTATGTATCAGAAAGCTCATCATCTGATCAAATATATACTGCTGAACCTGTCAGCTCACACATTCCAGCACAGATTGCTGTCTCAGGATGCCAGACAGCTGATGGTAATTATAACTTAGATGTTTGCATTATGCTATTATTTTTACAATTCTGCATTTCATAAAAATGAAGATGCAATGTTTCAGAATCAATATTTTATTAAAGAACTGAAGTTGATATATATTGCTGTGAAAAGAATTTCTATGTATAAAAAAAATTACTCATGGAGGGTCTCATACAGGGTCTCTGTAATAGCACGCTTTAAGTAAATTTTGTATCTTTTTACTTACTTTCATTCAATTGGTCTTTATATATTTTCTAAAGTTGTAATATAAATATTCAAATATACATCAACTTCATTTCCAATTTGGTGGATAGTTGTCTCAAGGTCTTCTAATCAATCATACTATTCCTCCTTTTTTTTATATACTCAACACATATGCAATGTATACCCAATCAACTGAGGCAATTTTAATGTTTCTTTAATCAAAAATTTTAGAACCACCATCTTCTGTGGAGAGTATCTGGATTAGGAGACTGGAGCAGGTTCACCAGAGAAATGTAGAAAAACCTTATACTGAACATGCCAACCTATCAGCCCAAATACCTCTTTCATTTACTAATAGCAGCACTCAGCAACCACCAAAAGTCAGGTATATGTTTTAGATGAAAGAATACAACAGCTTTTATAATTTCTATACACTAAGTAAGTTGGGTATGTACTGAATGCTCTTTTAGCGTTGTATATATCTGGCGCTGCAACTTTTTTTAAATGGAGCATCACTGATGGGTCTTTTGTGTATGAAACACCTGAATACATCCTGGAATATACTTGCTCTTTGTTTAAAGGATTATGATGATATAACTTGGCTTAATTGGGCTTCCTTTGGACTCTGATGCATATATATATTGTCTAATTGGCAATCATACCACATCTTCTTATGTAATGATTTGAATACTGATAAATATTCTTAAAGTGCCAATAAGTTATACAGCAGCCCTGTATAAAATCAAGTGTTATCTCCCTTTAAATTGTTTCATTAAACTTGTTCTTTTATGATCAAATATGCCCTGTAATGGGGATCTAAATTCTAAATCAAATTATCTCATTTAACTATCAGTTAAATGTAAGATTCAGAGAAATATATCCCAAATACTCATTTGTAGAATTAATAAAATGAAAGTCTGCATCACCTTTTGTTTAAATATTAATCCGGAACACTTACTTCAATATTATCAATTTTTGTTAAAGAGTATTAGTTAAAGGTATAAACATTTATGTACAAGTTGTAGAAATCTTTGCCTTTGAAAAAATAATTTTATATAAATAGTTATACCGGTTTATGATAACTATATTTATTTACAAGATTTACCAAGTATTAATTTTTTTTATATATTTCAGTGAGAATAAACGGACAAAAAAACCCAAGAGAACTGCAGAAGATGTGTACGAGTTACAGTGTCAGGCATTAGAGAGCGAGCTAAAAAGAAATCAGACCCAAATGGAACTTTTCCAGAAGCAAATGGAGTTTTATGATTTGATAAAGAAAAATTTTGAAAATAGTTGTACAGAGTCAATGTTAGAGGCTTTATTTTAGTAACTTTAATCAACATTTATCTATAGTTCCATATTAATGTTATATTTTTGATATGTTTTAAAATTATTGTTATTGATAAAATACATATTCTGAAAAAAACTTTTTTCAATGTTTTATTCATGATTTCAGCGATTAAAAAATGTGGAGGAAATGTGGTCTCTGACACCTCTTCCGTCCTGATCACCAAAGAAACGTTCCCCAAGATCTCCATCATTGTCTATCACTACTCCATCATCTTCAATGTCTGGTTCATTTAATAAGATGCAAATATTGTGAAGAGTAGCAAAAGCAATGATGATCTTGCATGCTTTGCTTGGTGTCATTCTTATCTGAAACCAAAGAGTGAAAGTAATGTAGAATTATTGCCTTTTTTTCACAATAGCATGTTAATTTGGTCTTAGAAGTTGGAACTTAAACAAGAGTGCACACGCTGAAATGACTCACCTTCTTTACTTATCCTTGCTATTATGTTGATAGTCCTAAATATAAAGCTTTACTACAACTATAACATAAACTTAACATGATACAAGAAAATGAGGTCAAGGTCATATAAACCAAACAAGAAATACATGTACACCTAACTATCATTCAATACACTAAATATAGTTGACCTATTACTTATAGTTTATAAGAAACAGACTTAACCAATGAAACTAAACATTGACCAATGAACCATGGAAATGAGGTCAATGTCAGATGAACCATGCCAAGCAGACAAGTACAGGTAATGATTCTTCCATACAACAAATATAGTTGACATATTGCTTATAGTTTAAGAAAAACAGACCACAACTCAAAAACTTAACGTTGACCACTGAACCATGAAAATGAGGTCAAGGTCAGGTGACACCTGCCAGCTAGACATCTACACCTAAAAATCATTCCATACACCAAAATCAAACAAAATTTATTTTTTGATCCTTTGCATGGATCTCGACATTCCCAATTTTGCTCCAAATCCAAAATCTGAAACCAGAGTTAAAATTCAGCACACCTTATATATTCAATATTTTTTTTAAAAATCAAACAAAACATTTAATTTGGACCCTGAATTGTACCAACTTGAAAACTGGGTACAAAACCAAAAATATAAATTTATATATAGATTCTGGATATCAAAGAACCCAAACAATCCATTTTTTTGTTAAAATCAAAACTTAGTTTAATTTTGGACCCTATGGACCTCAAAGTGAACCAATTGAAAACAGGTCCAAAATTAAAAATCTAAATACATGTTTAGATTCAGCATATCAAAGAACCCAATAAATCCAATTTTTGTAAAATGAAACAAAGTTTAATTTTGGACCCTTTGGATTTTATATTATATGGACTAATTCGAAAACAGGGCCCAATATAAAAATATTAATACACAGATAGATTCAGCATATAGAACCACAAAAAAATCAGTTTCTGATGAAATCGAACAAAGTTTAATTTTGGACCCTTTTGGACCTCAATGTGGACCAATCTCAAAATATCCAAATCAATAACGCGATAAGAAAAGTTAAATATGACCAAAATTGTCAGTTGACCCCTTAAGGAGTTATTGCCCTTTAAAGACAATTTTACACAATTTATTCATCAAGTTTGCTAACATTTAAAAATCTTCTCCTCTGAAATACAGGTGAGCGATTCAGGCTCTTGAGAGCCTCTTGTTTTTTACTCAAAACTCCTGTCCTGCCTATTTTTTTCAAATTTCATCCTTGCCCCCCCCCCCCCCCATAAAAATCAAATGGTAGCTCCCTTATGTTCTATGACACTGATCATTTGCATAATAAAGAATTGATTTTTTTTATGCTTTACCTCTGAGTGTAATACATGGAACCGTCTCTTCAGCCTCACAAATGTTCTCTCAATCACACTTCTTGTTGAACAGTGGCATCTATTGTACTTTTTCTGATGATCTTGTACAGGATTCTGGTATGGTGTCATCAAAAATGGACGACAAGGATAACCACTTTCCCCAAGCAGTACACCATTTGCCATCCATCATTTTGTTCCATGTAGGTACACACCTGTACATAAAGGTTTATATTTCATTTACATCATATATTTGGTTAAAACTACCATTTGTATAATTTAAATGTATATATTCAGCTTCACGGAGGAGTTACACTATTTACCTTAAATAATATTGAGCAAGACTATTTTTCTTTATTCCTTTTTCAGTTATTGTATATCAATATTTTTTAACATAGCCACCTCTTAAAACTAATTGGTTGCTTCTTTATATATGGAATAAAAGATTTTTTAACATATAAATCCTTTACTAAAGATATGGAAATACAATTGCAATCTCATATGTATAATGTATTAGCCTTTCTTTCATTAATCCAAATTTTATTATGCTAAAATGATTAATTATATGTAAATATTAAATGATAAATTCATTATTTTGAAATGAAATTCAAATGTCCTCAGATTGGTATTTTTACACCTTTATGTGTAATGACAAAAAGGGGGAAAAAAACATTAGTAATGACAGGCAATAAAAATAGGGGGTTTATGTCCAAGAAGAAGATTTTGACTTCCCGCAGTGGTAACCAATCCAAGATAAGAGATTTTGAATATGTATTGAGAAATTAAGAAGTCTTCCTACTGTTAACATATAGTTCTTGAAAGGGAATATGACTAATAAAAGATGACCAACATGGCAATAAAATACATACTTGTGAAGTCCTGAATATGTGGGAATCATGACTGCTACCTGGCCAGTTTGCATTTATGTTTGTGAATTTACCTTCAAAATATAGAATATTATATATAATGCAAAGAAGAAAGAAATGTTGTAATAGCATAAACAGAATTATATGTAACAAATTATCTTTTATTAATTATTATATTTTTCTAATTAAGAGGTGTAGCAAGAGTTTCAAAGAGAGGATTATTTGGGATCATGCAACAGTGGACTAAAAAATAAAATTTATTTGAATTCATTTATCTAAAAGTATTGTAATGGTAATCTTAAAAGGGGGTGTCCAAACATTTTCAACTACAAGTGTATAATTGCTTCAAATTTCAAAAAACACAATGAATAACCATGATGATCTATGATAACTCAGATGTACAATGCATGTATAGACTCACAAATTATGACTCAATTATATTGTTTCAAACTAGGAAAACATGATAATAATAATTAAATCAATTGTGCTAATGCATCTTTATTTTTTTTATAGTTGATCCACATCAGAGCAATATTAAAATTATAAATTGTACTGTAGGTTAACCTAGGTTAATCTTTCTTTCTTTTGGATTAAAAGGGAAAATTTAAGAAATGTATCTGAAACAGCAGTGGCGGATCTGTGGTGGTGTTCCAGGAAACCCCCCTTTTAGGACTATCAGTGCATTTGAATGGGGACATATGGTTGGAACTCCCCTTAAATTTATCCTAGGTTGGGACCCCCCTTTTTGAAAATGGCTGGGCCCCTGATCAGAATCTTTTTCTCACTGAAGAAAAAATGACAAATAACTTCTTTTAATATTTGACTAACCAATATTTTAATTTACCTGTAATATGTAAACCATATAAAATCCTACTTTTATGTCCTAGATGAAGGTTTACACTGAAGTAAAAGTGAAAGTAATTACTATGTGAGAAACAGACTATAGGGGTCCCAGTCATACAAAAAAGTTGAAACCAGTTTATTATGTTACGAAGGTCAATGTCATATTAGATAAGAAAGAAATGTTTTACCTCTGGCATCACAAACAGCCTGCACATTGATAGAATGTACCCCTTTCCTATTCACGAACGATGGTTCATCTTCTGATGGAGCCTGGATACGGATGTGTGTCCCATCTATTGCCCCTAGCACATTTGGGAAACCACTTAGACGGTAAAAGTCTCCTCTTGTTTCATCAACATTTCTCGGCCGCTTGATAAACTCATCCCGTTTGTCACATAATGAATTCAAAACATCAGACACAATACGTGAGACAGTTCCCTTGTGCAAACCTGTAAACAGACCAAAAACAACAGCATACAATTTTGGAGATCGATAAAGTACAAAAATAAAATGTGTATTTACCGTTTGATTATATATTATTTAGAAAATCAACAAATTGAAAGTATCATTAAAAAATCAGCCAAAGATAATTATAGCAATCGATTAACACCACATTGGCAATGTTTACTTAATTTTAAATGACATATGATAAATATATAATGAAATCTTACCTATGTGTCTCCAACTACTTGCAAGAAACTGCCTGTGGCTAAAAATCTCATGGTTACCATGACTTGCTGTGGCACAGTGAGGGCATGGTTTCTCTTTGTTTTTCTTGATTCATCATTGCTAACTAGGTTGGAAATGAACATAATTCCTTCTCTACCAAATCTGAACCTTTCTCTTAATTCCTCATTGGACAAATTCAAAGAAAGGTCATCTTTGAGGCGAAAAAGCCTTTCTTTTCTCTGAGGTCGAACAGGTACTTGCATAAAGGCGGCCATATTTAACAATAACTTAGATATTTAATCGACCTCCCAGAAGTTGTTAAAGTTAACGACTCTTTAACATTACTTTTGTCGTTAAATTTTTTGAACAACAGTTAACAAATTTGTTAAATTGAACGACTCTCGAACGACACTTTAACGACTGCGTTAGCTTAACGACACTTTTGAACAACCGGGCCCTGACCTAGGACTTTTCTCATTTTTCATTCTACGCAAAGCTGTTGTCGATTCATTATAAGTTATCTCCCCCTCTAAAGATTCTTTTCAAGTATCATTTAATTTTTCAATATCAGAATCAGGTATTTCGCTATTGAGGTTTACATTATTTAAGCTCTCTGTTTTAGTATAAAGTTTTTTAGCTCACCTGGCCTAAACGGCCAAGTGAGCTTTTCTCATCACTTGGCGTCCGTCGTCCGTCGTCCGTCGTCGTCCGGCGTCGTCCGTCGTCGGCGTTAACTTTTTACATTTTGAACTTCTTCTAGAGAACCACTGAATGGAATGAAACCAAACATGGCATGAATGTTCCTTATGAGGTGCTGACCAAGTGTTGTTACTTTGTAGCCGATCCATCATCCAAGATGGCCGCCAGCGGGGGACTTAGTTTAACATAGGACCCTATGGGAAATGCATACAAATGACTTCTTTTAGAGAACCACTGAATGGAATGAAACCAAACATGGCATGAATGTTCCTTATGAGGTGCTCACCAAGTGTTGTTACTTTGTAGCCGATCCATCATCCAAGATGGCCGCCAGAGGGGGACTTAGTTTAACATAGGACCCTAGGGGAAATGCATACAAATGACTTCTTTTAGAGAACCACTGAATGGAATAAAACCAAACATGGCATGAATGTTCCTTATGAGGTGCTGACCAAGTGTTGTTACTTTGTAGCCGATCCATCATCCAAGATGGCCGCCAGCGGGGGACTTAGTTTAACATAGGACCCTATGGGAAATACATAAAAATGTCTTCTTTTAGAGAACCACTGAATGGAATGAAACCAAACATGGCATGAATGTTCCTTATGAGATGCTGACCAAGTGTTGTTACTTTACAGTCGGTCCATCATCCAAGATGGCCGCCAGCGGGGGACTTAGTTTAACATAGGACCCTATGGGAAATACATACAAATGTCTTCTTTTAGAGAACCACTGAATGGAACGAAACCAAACATGGCATGAATGTTCCTTATGAGGTTCTGACCAAGTGTTGTTACTTTGTAGCGGATCCATCATCCAAGATGGCCGCCAGCAGGGGACTTAGTTTAACATAGGACCCTATGGGAAATACATACAAATGTCTTCTTTTAGAGAACCACTGAATGGAATGAAACCAAACATGGCATGAATGTTCCTTATGAGGTGCTGACCAAGTGTTGTTACTTTGCAGTAGGTCCATCATCCTTAGTTTTACATAGGACCCTATTGGAAATACATACAAATGTCTTCTTTTAGAGTACCACTGAATCGAATGAAACCAAACATGGCATGAATGTTCCTTATGAAGTGCTGACCAAGTGTTGCTACTTTGTTGCCGATTTACTGTTCAAGATGGCCACCAGGATATTTTATTAAATAACGGGACCAATATTAATCAAAATTTGGCCTCAATCATTATTTGGGTATCTGTTATGATTTTTATCTATCTTTACATGATTTCTAAAACCAAAGTAGAGTCAGGTGAGCGACACAGGCTCTTGAGAGCCTCTAGTTTATAGTAATTTTTTGCCTCTTCTGATATTTTATCTTGTTTACAAATTGTGTCCACTTTTTCGTTAACTAGTTTGGGGATGGTTTTATTTATAAAATGTTTAGTTTCCATATTCAAAAAAAAAAGCTAGATGGCTTTTCCCCTTCTTTAGTCCATTGCATTGTTGATCTGATATAGTACCCCCTCATTTTTTCTTTCCTTATTATTCTAAAATCAGATTTGTGGTGTTCAATTTCTGTTAATATTTCCTCTGTTTAGATGCTTTCCTCTTATTTCTGAATTTTTTCTGATAACATTTTTCCTGTTTATCTCTTTCCTTCTTTTTAAAAGATGCATAGGAAATAGTTTTTCCTCTGATTTCAGTAAGTAATATTTCTAAAAAGAGTTGGTCATTTAATGTAAAGTGGATATCTAAATCATTTATTTCTTCTAAAGTTTCTCTATTATATACGTGTGATGCATATTGGTCTTTTACTTTAAGTATAGTGTCTTTTATAGTTTTGGAATATTCAATATCATGTAAAAGTGAGTTGTTAAATTTCCATAATCCTTTTCCAATTATGAAATCATTCATCCTCAGATTTAATATTATTGGGGAGTGATCTGATCTATAGCTGTTGTGAATTTGTACATCATATACATTTTGAATAAGGTCTTTGGATATTAAAAAGAAATCTAATCTTGCTTGATTTATAGGATTAGCTTTTCTCCATGTGAATTTTTTTAAGTCTTGATTGATTTCCCTAAAGGGAACTGTTAAATTATAAAATTATATTAGGTCTAGAATTTTCTCCTTAGCTTTTGGGTTATTAATATTTTGATAATTATATGTATCAAGACTTTGGTTTTGTACTAAATTATAGTTTCCAGTTATAACAACTGACTGATTGTTTAAAGTTTCTATCATTTCATATAGTATTATATAAAATTCTGGTGTATCTTTGTTTGGACCATATAAGGTTAATAGGGTCATTCTTTTTCTTCGATTTCCATATCAATTCCTAACAAATTTCCTTGATCGTCTTTTTTTACTCTATGTATCTTATACTCAAAGTTTGTTGTCAAGAAAATTGCTACCCCTCTTTGATTTGTTGCAAATGACTTAAAAATGCATTCTCCTCCCCAAAGATTTTTTATTTATATTTCATCATTTTCTGAAAATTGTGTATCTTGTAAGCAATATATATTACAGTTTTATTATTTAAGATAATCAAAAACATCTCTTCGCTTCTCTTTTGAATTAAGACCTTGACAGTTGTATGAGAGAGTTTTTATATTATTATTACTCATTTTCAAGTGATATTTCTATTTTATAACAAAACAATAATATAATAAAAAAAACTGATAGACCCATACAACTGTGTACTTTTAAAATGTGTGAATGTCAAAATATCCTTGAGATGTCTGATCTCACCTGCCATGTCTGTCATTTCCTTTTATTCGCTATTTAAAAAACAGAGGCGGATTTAGGGGGTAGGGGGCCCGCCCACCCCTAATGGAGCTACATATATGATAAATGCATATACTTTAACAACCATCAGTCCAAACGTTGGGTAACTATGGGCCCCCACCTTTTCGAATTCCTGGATCTGCACCTGAAAAATGTACCATTATTGAAGCCCCTCGTGGAGGTATCCAAATCAAATATACAGACATATACTATTAATAACCACATTAGGAGCAGTAATCACAAAGTTGACAAGTAATTTCTGCATATTTTTCATTTCTTAAGAGAATCAACATGTGTCAAAGTCAGGTCTTACTTATTTAGTTTTCCGACTTAAAGAAACATATTTCTCATTTGCATGCTGTAGTTCAAACAAGTTAGCCTCTTGTTTTATACTATATTTAGTTTTAGATAATATTGTTTTCGTTTTGATTTGTTTCGGTAAATTTCATTTTGTGTCCTTCCATTCTTATTCCGTTTCGCACTTGTAACAGGTATCCACGTTTAAGTCATTTCCCCCTTATCTATATTTTAATCAAATATCATAAAATTCAAACTTTCAAAAAGCAAAATGATCACAACTGTGCGTTCAGTTTAGTATTTTTAAAGTTTGCTTAAATATCTAAACTATTAAATTTTAAAACGAAGTGTATAATTTAAAAATTTTAATTGTTTGGTGAAATTTTCAAAATTGAAAATAAAATACAAATTTGGAATTTTGATATTTTAAAACTTCGATCAAAAATCTAAAAAACTAAAATTTGAAAACTTTTTGAAATTCTGAATTGATAAGTGTTACACGGACCGATATAGTTACAATATTGTTGTCAAGTTATTACAGATGACAATTTTTGGAATTATTATTGGTTCACTCATAGGGTCTTTGCAGCGGAAATTAAGACATTTACTATAAATCAGTTGACGGTATAATACGTATTATATTCTTCTCGTATAATTTAGGATAGCATGATACTAAACCAAACGGGAGGGATGGTGGTTGATTTTCTATGATGAAGACATAATCGTTCGATCAGTCTGGAGCAGGTATGTCAGTAACTGCAAACAGTCCTTTGTTAGATTATGTTGATCATTGTCATTTTGGTTAGTTTCTTCTGATACACATTCTAACGCCGACTCAGACGTTTGTTCAACTGGGTTTTACGGTGCATATTGATGTGTGTTTGTGTTTATTCCACATTGTCTATAGGTATTGGGCAGAGTTGAGATCCCACAAAACATGATCCCCGCCGCTTATTTGTGCCTGTCCCAAGGTAGGAACCTCTAGCCTTTGTTTGTCTTTCGTGTTTTGTTGGTTTATCTGTATCTTTCGGAATTTTGGGAGGCGTTCATTTGGCTAAACACGTATACATTTTTGGTTAAAAGCCAACTGAAGCACACCTCCGGATACGAGATTTTCTCGGTATTTTTAATTATTAAGACCAATTGGCTGACTTAGGCTGTTATTTGCTCTTTGATTGGGTAGTTGTTTCTTTGGCACATTCACCGTTTCCGTTTCCGTTCTCTTTTCTATTGTATTATTTAAACTATTTCTGTTTTATGATTGGTGTTTGTTTGAAATTGTGTGAGATAACCGAAATTGCTAAATCAATCAAAACTCTTTACATAAAGATAAAGAGATGACGTATGAATACCAATGAGACATTTATCCACCAGAGTTCGTTTGTAATGTACGTTTCGCAAATCAGTTGATCGAAAGATTGAATATACTTCGATGGCCGCTTTGATAGTAGACGTGTTGCTACATCAATATATATCCCTCATGCAATATTCTAATTCCTTATCCTGTGTTGGCTATACTTAATGTCCTATTGGTTAATCGGCTATTCAACGTCTGTTTTAGGTTTTGGATTTTAAAATATTTTGACCTCACTGTGACATTTCAGTATCACCGAAGAGACATTAATTGTCGAAATGCGCATCTGATGAAGAAAACTTGATACCGTTTATATTATCGTTATGAATCACAGTTTATGGTTAAACTCAGTAAAGATCTGTTGAAATTTATACCATTGATAGTACGTCTTTTGTAAAAATTAAGTAATAAAAAATATAGTGCCTATATTTACCCAATGAGAACTAAATATAAGTACATTTGATTTCAATAGACAATGCTGACCATTCCTATATCAGTTTCAAACTAAATAAACTAAATTACGACGAAACGGACGATGTGTCATTCCCTATTATACATTTTGGTTTTTAAATGGTCATGTCTATTTGGCCCCATCTTACTTGTTTTTATATGCAAACTCGTTCGTAATGCAATTATCTGAAATAACATTATAGTTTTCAATTCTCCAAATCTATGTATCGATATGAAATTATAAAATTAGTTTACTGGTGTTTAAATCTCGTAAATCTCATAAGAACTAAAACAAACTCATCAACGATAGCAGGTTTTTCATTGTGTACACCAGACGCGCGTTGCGTCTATTTGCCTCTTTGTAAGCAGCAATCCTCTAGCTTGGAATTTTAATAAAAAATGCAAGCTCTGGAATATTGTATCAACTGGCGGCTATACATTCTACATGGATGTGCTGCTGAATTTAACAGTACAAGGCCGTGTTGAAGCTAGTTCAAAGTCAAGTTTCAACTTAAATAATCCTGAATTCAAATACTTTCACTACAACTGTTTATAAAATGTTGATATATTCAAAACGCCTCGGTTTTTCTATACTTTGGTATAGATTGACTTGGCAGTATTTGGCACAGCATGTTCGAAATTGTGTTAAGTAATGCTCTTCAACTCTATTGATTTGGCTTTCCAACTGCATTAATTCGAGCGCCACTGAGGAGTCTGTAATAGATTTGCAGAACAAGCCACAAGAGGACTGATTGTTAAATAAACTAGCACTTTTCTTTATCAATTATTAAGTATAAGTAATGAATATATATACGTGATGCAAGGCAGTATAATGGTATCATAGCATTTCGTAGCAAGATTTGTAGTTATCAATATACTCACCAACAAAATAGGAAATGCAAACATTATGAGCATCGACCATTCTTATACCTAAAATAAAACATATTAAATTCTTCATTTAGTTGTTTCTTAATATAATTGGTAATTGCGTTAAAATCTGTTTTTTTTTATAACAAAATTACTTGGAATATTTATTTTTTTCAATTTTCTAATACGAAATGTAGATTAAAATAGCGTATATGTGAAACTGACAGAAGGATAAACAGACAACTTTTCATTACTATTCTCCTGCAATAAGTGAAAAGACAAAAACAAAGTGGTCAGTCTTAAGTAATATGATAAAAGGGAGTAACTGTAATATGTTTTATTATGATCAATAGTTGATTGGATCGATGAACAGTAATACCGTGCATCCAAAAATATTATCTAGCAACACTCATGTACGGAGGCCATTATAAAAATAAGGAGATGTGGTATGATTGCCAACGAGACATCTATCCACTAAAGTTCAAATGAAGTGTATGTAAGCTAGTATATGTAACCGTGCGGCCTTCATCAATGAGAAAAACCCATACCGTATAAGCGGTTATAAAAGGCTCCGACATGAAAAGTATGAAACAATCCAATTGAGAACACTGACGGCCTAATTTCTAACAAAACAATTTGCGAAAAACTAATATAACAGGCATAAACCAACGACAACGACTGAACAACAGGTTTCTGACGTTGGACAGGCACATAGAGAATTTTACGCCGTTTAATATGTTATTGGGCGCTCTACCCTCCCCTTACCTTGGACAGTGGTGTAACAGCACAACTTAAAACACACTATACAAATCAGTTGAAAAAGACTCCACTCATTAGATCGTTACAAAGACAAACACCAAACAAAAACAAAGACAAAGACAGGGCGTGGCAGGGTATATATCCAAACCTCATCCCTAACAACAAAAAGACCGTAAGTACAGACCTGAGAGTACTTACAGTTACTGACAGCTATTTCAAAGCCAATAATAACAAATAAAAAATGAATATATATCTAAGACTAGAATATCAATCAGTACACATCCAACATCCAATTGATTTAGTGAAAAGACGTCATCAACACTCCGAGAAAAATATGACCTTGTGCAATGCCAAAATATAGATATCCACCGATTGTAGTACCGTGAAAGTACATATATGTAATATTTAGTATTGTTTTAATTTACTGATAACTAAACCAATTTAAAGGATTCATAAGTTTACCCGGATCGTATCTAAATTCTCAGGATCGGTTAACAACATCACCGTAAAATTCAGAATGTGCTTTTTCGGTTGAAAAAAGTTTTTTACAGGAACAGCCGAACTTGCAAACCAAACTATCGTGAATAAGGATGGATTTAGTAAACATTGTCAACATATAATTCAATTTTATCTACCCTTTTAGTTGGTTGATTAATTTGTGACTCATCCAAAATTCCAAATTATATTTGTTTATTCTTCTCTCTCATGTGATGTGGCATTAAAACTGTAAATATCTACTCAACAAAAATAAATTAAAGATGGTAATTTAGATACATTTTCAAAATCAAAATTAATGGATTAACACGAGTTACAGGTTGATCACTTTATCTATGAAAAATAACTAAAGATAAATAATAGTTGACCATCTCAACTTTCTATTTCTTTTCTTTTAATTAAACGACAAAATCTCAAACTGAATGGTGAATAGGCAAAGCATGAATAGATATTAATTTGGAATGTTATTGTATAATTGAATGATGAGTTCGGATTATAGATCATCTCTGTGATGAAATTAAAAAATGAAAAATAACAACAAGAAAACAAATTGTGTGAATCATTTCATATTGTCTATGACATGTATATTGGTTTTACTTGTACTTTTGGTTTATTATTTATAATAGCGTTATTCTAACGTTTATTGCTTTTTTTGTTTTTATTGTTAATTCTTTTATGTACTTTTAGTTAGTTCACTGGTTAAGAATAAAAGAAAAAAAGGTTGAGATAAAAAAAAGTTTAGTCAAACCTCATGCCCACTCCATTTTCTGACGACTTGATTACCTTAGGAATACAAATAATCAGGATGTTTAAAGGTTTATTGGGTTAAGAGGTTAATAATTAAAATTCGATACAAGAAAACAAAAATCTAACCAAGTCAGTAAAGCGATTTTAATCCATAAACATGTCATACGAATCCAATAAAATCTATCAATGAAATAATGTAAGACATTGTAAAATTAACATTATGTATTCTTTTTTTATTATGTTTTATTCCCTTTACGTCCAGTAGCTCATTAAAAGGCACTATCATCTGGGCAAAGGCAGTACAACGGTTGTGCAATAAAATTTTATTTAATTGTTAAAAAAAAAAAAAAACACATTACATTAGCTGATATCAACATTCACAGAATGACATTATTTCTTCTGTTGTTGTCTCATCGGATTTGGGAATTCAAATTTCATACACCCACACAAAAATATGCACTTTACCAGGAAGGTAATTGTCCGGAAATTTAAATCATTCAACTGAAATCTAATTATAAATTATCCATGAAGTTCTTCGAATTGGTATGATAGCCATCTTTAATATTCGGCAGAGGGTCAAATTTGCATTATCTTAATCAAAGTCAAAACTGTTTGTTCACCCTAACTAACTTTCTTTAATAGTTGCACGTTAAAAAAATGAAATATATCTATACATCTACATATTTCTTCTCATAACAAGTAAAGGATTGTTGTGACCTTCACTAAATGAAAATCTACTTTGAAAATTTTTCTGAATTCTACACCAACAGACAAACGATTTCAGATGCAAAATACAATGAGAAACATATATTTTAGATCTAAAGTATCCATCAGAATGTTTTCTTGATATACTTACGCATCGAATTATATCCATATTGTCACAAACCATTATACAAAATGTGTGAAATCATGTGTATAATACATTTCACAGTCTAATACACTTGGTGTGTAGAACTTTAAATTAACTTTAAAGAATTACAAATATGCTTTGGACGACAGGTACATATATACTAAGGGTTTTCTCATTGGTATTTAATGATCAAGGACATAACATTATCTTTTTGTGGTTTGCTATATTGTGTATACTGATAACATGTATATTTTTTTTATTATCATTTCAATCAATGTTACTATACTGATGTTTTAGAAGAATAGTTTTGACTTGTCCTCATAAATTTATTTGTTAAAAAGTAAATGAAAAATAAAGAAACTAAAAGTATAACAAAAATGTAAAAACAGGAAATATATCAGAAGATGATGTGAAACATAACTTTACAAAACATGATATGATATTTTATTCAGGATAACATCGACTTCGACGATAAACAATGCTAGCACATATCTAACTAATTGCAAAGTTTTTTTTTTTTAAATCCCAGAGGGTTCAAAAGACATGTATAATATCTAAAATAGTAAAAAGTCAAATCCTCAACACAAATGTGAACAAACATGGCCCTTTATGCTCAAACCAAACTACAATTGAAAAAAATATCCATATATTGCCCTTTTATACTAGTATAACCAAGAATTCAAAATTGCAGTGGTTTCAATACAGAATAATACATCGAATTTTAGGCACGAATGAACCTCTCTTTAAAATAAAAATTAAAGATGCAAACAAGTGTAGTTTTGGGTGTGGACGGGTCGAAACAATAGAACATATATTCTGGACTTGTCCGTATATATCAAAATTATAGGAAGACCTTAACTCCTGGATATTTGAAAAGATAGAAATAGAACTAACTTTGAATATTGATTTGGTTTTATTTGGTATTCTAACAAAAACCGATAAAAATGACATAAGAAACTTAAACATTCTACATTTATAGAAGTAAATTATCATTGGAACAAACCAATATGATAGCACTAAACAATTATTTAAAACAAAACTTATTTTAAATAGAAAAAAATATATCTTATATAAAGGGCAGAGAACTGCTGGAACCCCATGACTCCTTAATTTTCATAAAAGCAAAGATAAACAATAGACACCATATATATTGTGTGTATTCTATATCCAAGCAGATTTTGTCTTGCAATCATTTTCTGCAATGTACCAAACTATTTCATCTGTGTCTATTTAATATGTTGTATATCTTCTGTTTATATATTATAATTATTTTGCATAAAATGTGTATAAATTATTATTATGTTCATGTGCAATAAAAAGGAAATTCATTATAAAAAAAACTAATTGCAAATACTTTTGATTCGTACTTCTCCCTACAGCTTTTGGAATGCTATATAGTGCTTGGGGTCACCTTTTGTGTAGCCAGTCTTTGGTCACACGATATTCCATTATAATTCTATTAAATTCTCGGCATTTTTCCTTTATACTGTCAGGTTTTCGGACGATACTGTCATGTATTTGGCATCGTTTTTGTAATGTGTTTCTGCCAATGAAAACAATTGAACTTGGGATAAGCACATGCCTGATCTAATTGAAATCATCATAAAAGGTTGGTCGTCTGTGTAGTGTATGATATAGCAAGATTTAATATGACATATATAGCATGATGTGAAGGGTCAATCCAAGTTTAAATGTGCACAGTGATAGCGCCAATTTCCAGAAAATATTTATTTTTTCTTGGAGAAGGAAAATATACACAATTTGTGGAGGCTACTTGAGATTCAAGTATGACCTATTTTTTATAAGCAGTGGAAAAATATTTTTCGTTTGGAGTGTAGATAATATGAGCTAAAATCGATGAAATACAAAAGTTCATAAGTGCGCTGACAATACGAGTATAAAGATAAGTGTGTTTAAAACTGGAACTTTTTAGTAAAGACAACAAACGTTCTGTGAACTGAATTTAAGTCATGTGAAGTATCTTGAAAATATGGACACTTCACAGCTGTCATCTGGTATATCGCAAACAACAATCGTGAAAGGATAAATGACCAGGCATTTTGGTCGCATCGTGAGACTGTATATGTTTTCCTGATATTTGAGAGGAGTATGGTGACCTATAAATGCTTACATCTACGGTTACGTGTTTGGGTAACCGGTGGATAGTTGTCTCATTGGCACTCATACAACATCATTTTATTTTATCATAGAAAACAAAATTTCATTTAACATCGATTTACTTCCTCGATTGAGCGATATCATAATAGGAACATGATTTGTATGAGTATAATAGCCTACCGCCTCTTTTTCTACAAAACCTTTAAAAGACACAGATAAAATCATAATTAAATTATTTATATTTATATAGAAGTAGTACATGTACGTCCATGATCATTCGCAGAGAAAAAAAACAACATTTTTAATAAGATATATTACCAACATTAGGTATGTGTCTGTACCTAGTCACCCTTAATAAAACAGTAATAAATTAATGTTACATCGTTTACACGTAATCTTTAATGTTTATGAGTAAATTGTGATTGTTATATTCACATAGGTATTGGCTTGCTACATATACACAAACAATTGTTTTTCTTCAAACAATCAAAATATTTTCCACATGATACGTAAGAAATTTACATTAATTAGATTATTGTTATACAATGTGGATTATATTTGGGTCGCCTCATCCGCAGTTGAACTCCCAAAGTTGAGCAATGTATTTATTATAATTAATTGAAATAATTGCATATTTCATAAAATTGGTCTTTGAAAATATGAGCAAACTTTTCATTAGATTGAAACTTCTAAGTTGACTTGTTTGCGAAGTAATATAATAAGTTTGTTTATTTTTTTTTCATAATACAATTAACTTTATTGCGTTATTGTCATAAAGGTTTGAACGTTGGAACAGTGAAATAGCTTATAATTAATTATGATATAAAAAAAAAATCAACGTCTGATTTTTCTTATTATTTCTACGAATGTGTAAACACTAAACAGAAAACTTTGTTGCTGATCAGAAAAAAGTTTCTTTTTGCATAGTTTACTATAGGAGACAAATTGGAAATATTTTTGCTTGCACCCTAATCTCCTTACATTGATATACAAAATATATAAACACAGTGGTGGTCTACATAAGAAAATGCCTGTACCAAGTCATAGTATGTATAGTATGTGAAATGTACTACTGAATATTATCTTTCTATCAAGGGACACTTTCTATATTTATTTTACTCTCTTACTGTACACTTGGTGTATACATGTATTTAAGTTTGTGTTTCGATTTTCTGTCGGTATAGTTATGTAAAGTATATGCTACATTCATTCACCAAAAAGACATCATTAGACATATCACGAATAGCTGGATTTTCATGACTTTTGGACTGATGGATCAACACATTTATTTATTGGTCCTAGTTTTCCCCCAAAACATTTTGCATAGACAATGATATCGCTTCAATAAGTGCGAAACTTATTTTTCACTTTATACCCATTTGCGTCGTGAATATTTATGTTGTAGAAAGTACATTTTTCTTGAGCAAATATATTAATTTTCAGTTCTTACCAGACCAAGTCTTTCGATTTCACCCCCCCCCCCATCCACCGAAAGTCAAATGGTCGTCGTCCCCTTATGAGCTTCCAAGTAGTGTCGTGCCGAAAACAAAGCAAGTGTATATTTTTCTTACATCGATCTCATATTGGTTTTTTTTATATACTACTGCTTGAATGCATGGCTACATTAATAGATATTAAGATGGCAACACAAAATGGCAAAAAAATCAAGCGTATTTTCCACCTTTAAATGAACTAATAGGTACATCGATAATACTCATAAAAAAAATACTGTTTGTGGATCTTTACACATATTTATTGAAAGTTTGAGAAATACTCTGATTTAACAATTGTATTTACAAATCTCATCGTTTGATATATCACACTACCTGAATCTCCAGTAATATGCATATGGGTCGTTGCAGGGTTAAAAAGTCACATCAAAGTCATGGTATCAATAACTATATCGTTAACTTCGGATGGCAATTTAAGTTCTGTATCATTATATATTCATATGAAAAAAAAAATAAAAAATGTCATTTCGTGTAGATTTTTCTACTTGGTACCTATTTCCCGCGTTAATGTACGATGCAGTTGAAGCAACCAAGCAATTAAGATTATTCATTTGTAAACGATACTTCTATCTTTTCATTCATTTGGTCATTAACGTATCTATATAAAATTATTATAGCTAATAATAAAAATGTCGAAAGAGATTTGTTCATGCTGAAAGTTCCAAAAAAGTAACTCAACAGAAATACCAAACTCCAGGGAAAATTAAAACCTGAAAGTCTCTTAAAAAATAGCAAAATCAAATACATAGCGAAGATGATGATGGGTGGCTGTTTAACGAACAGCAGCAAATTAAATTCATAGATATATATATGTAAAGTTAAGACGTGAACATGTTCTTGCATTATTCATTACATGAATGTATCAAAAAAGAGGGATGAAAGATACCAGAGGGACAGTCAAACTCATAGATCGAAAACAAACTGACAACGCCATGGCCAAAAATAAAAAGACAAACAGACAAATAATAGTACAGATGACACAACATAGAAAACTAAAGACTAAGCAACACGAACCCCACCAAAAACTTGGGGTGATCTCAGGTGCTCCGGAAGGGTAAGCAGATCCTGCTCCACATGTGGCACCCGTCGTGTTGAAGATTGAAGTTAAAACTATTAAAAAAAGACACCTTACATTTGTGCATGTTCGAACTAAGAAACCATACAAAAATGTAATTTGATAGAAACAGATAACTGACATGTAGCAGTTACATTGACTTTTAGTCCATATATAGATATAAGTGTAAAATAAATGTAGCATTGCCAATAAATCTTGTTATAATTAGACTTCTTAAGTAGTGCAAATGTCAGTAGTATAAAGAGGAAATTACTGTAAAGGTGTAAAACCACAAGTTAATCCAATCAACATGAACAATATGTTGTGAAAGTAGTCCTATATTGACAAAACATAGGACCTTTGATATTGCTGTTAAAA